ATAACCGCGAAGAACCCCGCCGCCTCTGCAGCCTCCGACCTGAGGCCCCTCAGAGCGTCAGAGGCGGCGGTCGAAACCAGAGCAGGGCCGGAGGCTGCGCGTCCCCTGCAGCAGGGAGGAGGCCGCGGGCACTGGCGGTCGCTAGGGATGGGCCGGGAGAAATCGCTCGCATTGTCGGGGTGCTGGCGGACTCCGCGGCGCGGGCGCTTTTGCTTTCAACTCCCACCCACCCCCAAACGGCACCTCCTCCCCCTTCATTCTCCACGAATTCTGTGCAGAAGCCGGGCAGCTTCCTACCCACGTCCAGTCAGCATGCCCGCCTCCGGGGATGGGCTACTCTGGCTTTCATCTTACGGGTCAAGAGCAGTTCAGGGAGGGTTTGCAGGGTTATCGATTGTGTCATTTGACCGAAAGCAAAAAATATATAAAAGGAGAAATGACGCGTCTAGGATCAATAAGTGAACAGGAGAAGTCAGAGTTCCCAATTCCTGTCTTGGTGCTGGCCACACAATCACATGGAAACAAATTGCTCCCAAAAGGCCCTTTGGAGAAACATCCCCTCAAATGAGACGAAACAGGATTTTTTTTTTTTTGGGGGGGGGGACTCTTATCTTTTCCTTTTAATTGAATTTATTGGGGTGACCTGGTTAACAAAATTATACAGGTTTCAGGTGGGAGAAACGGTTGTTTTGTTCTTAAAGGCCTGTGTTTAAGCACCTGTCCCCTTTTCCAAAGCTTTGTGAGGATTCTCGGATGTACAAAATAGACCTTGTAGGTCGTCCCCCACCCCACCCCACAAATACCAGTTTTAATAAGGCGTCCTATTTCGTATTTTGAGATACTTCTGTTTTAATGTTTCTGTGTTAGTGAGAGGGAGACAGGTAATTAAAGGAGTAGTGAACATCGCAGGTTTAAGGAATCACGAACGCACGGGTGTTACCCTCCTCTCCTCCAGGGTTGAAGGTTACCAGCTGGCGTGTGGAGGTTTTTAGGACAGTGGAGGTGCTGCCGGGCCAGCCAGCTCTCATTCTGTTCCTCTTTCCTCCTCTTCCAGTTTCCAGGAAAGGCTTCCCAGGTTTCCACACTCTTCCAAGAACAACAAAAAATGAGCAAATCCCAGGTGAGTTGTTTCTTTTCTTTATCCCTTATTTTCCAGTGGACTTCATGGCTTTTGTCTATGTTATTAAGTGTGTTCAGATGTGAAGATGGAAAAGTGGAATTTGATTAAAAGCCTATTTCCAGGTAAATGAAGAGTGAGTAGCTTTGGTCTGTGTAGGTCATGTGATCCTGTCATTTGTGTAGGTCATGTGGTCCTACAAGCCACCAAATTACTTGGAAGTATTTTCTGTCCTGCTCAGGGTTGCATTTTACTGTGATGATGTCTTTTTAAAAAAAGATATATTTTTATTGATTTCAGAGGAAGAGAGAGGGGAAGGTAGATAGCATCAGTGATCAGAGAGAATCATTGATTGGCTGCCTCCTGCTCACCCCACACTGGGGATTGAGCCCACAACCCCGGCATGTGACCTGACCAGGAATTGAACCGTGACCTACTGATTCATAGGTCAATGCTCACCCACTTAGCCACACTGGCTGGGCACCTTTTTGTGCTTTTAAAGTTTCTCTACCAAAACAAGAGGCAGGGGTT